GGCCGGGACACCGGGAGGAGTGGACCGGGGAGGGACCGGGAGGGATGGGCCGCTGGGACCGGGAGCGGCACGGGGACCGGGACGGCTGGGTTGGCTGGACCCGGGGACCGGGAGGGCTGGGCCCGTGACCGGGCTCGAGGACGGGATGGACACCGGCGGGGACCGAGGAGGGGATGGGCACCGGCGATCGGGCGGGACCAGGCACCGAAAGGGGATGGGGATCGGGTGGGATGGGTACAGGGGACCGGCGAGGGGATGGGAGGGGCGGGACCTGCACTGGCCTGGGGACTGGGAGGCCTGGATCTGGGGGAGCCGGGCACGAGGAGGGAACGGGCACCGGGGACCGGAGGGGCCGTGGCAGAAGGGGCCAGGGTCGGGCCGTGCTCATGGGATCCATCCCCGCAGCATCGGTGAGAACATCCAGCTGCTGGTGGACCGGCCCGATGGCACCTACTGCTTTCGCCTGCACCGGGACCGCGTGTACTACCTCAGGTGAGCCCCGGGGGCGCGGGGGGCTCTGGGGCAGCCTGCGCGGGGCTGCGGCCCCACAGCCCCCCAGCACTGCCCTGCTCCCGCAGTGAGAAGTTGCTGAAACTGGCAGCCAGCATCCCCCGGGACAGCCTGGTAGCCCCGGGCACCTGCTTCGGGAAGTTCACCAAGTCCCAGAAGTTCCGGCTCAGTGTCACGGCCCTGGACTTCCTTGCGCCCTATGCCAAGGTGGGACACAGCCCCCCCAGCCACGCCCAGCCCGTGCCAGCACCCCCTGGCAGCCCCCAGCCCCTCACCATTCTGCTCTCTCTTACAGTTCAAGGTGTGGGTGAAGCCTGGCTCAGAGCAGTCCTTCCTCTATGGGAACCACGTGCTGAAGTCAGGGCTGGGCCGCATCACGGAGAACACGGCGCAGTACCAGGGCGTGGTGGTGTATTCCATGGCTGACGTCCCGCTGGTGAGCGCCCGATGCCTGCCACGGCTGTAGGGTGGGTACAGGGTGGGAGAACTCCCTCTCACCCCCCCCTTCCTCCCACCAGGGCTTTGGGGTGGCTGCCAAGTCCACGCAGGAGTGCCGGAAAGTGGATCCCTTGGCCATCGTGGTGTTCCACCAAGCCGATGTCGGAGAGTATGTGCGGAATGAGGACACGCTAACCTAAGGGATTCCAGGGACCTGAAGGGACCTGCCTGCCCTGCAAGTGTTCCTGAGCAGAATGGACCTTGTCCTGGACTGTGGGTGTGGGGAGCCACAGGGAGCCCACCCCAAATGGGATGGAGAGGGAGGGAGCTGCCAGTATACGGCCCCACAACCCTGGGGGGGCTGCTGCCAGCATGGGGGAAGGTGCCTCTGCACCAGCCTTGTCACATAAAGCCTCTTCCTTTTCCTAGTGCCTGTTGTCTGGTGCGGAGCCTCAGGGTGTTCAGCCTTTGCCCCTCCTGCGGTTCTCTGCTCTCCTGGGGCAGCACGGTGCACTGGGGTGCAACTCCAGAGAGGGGAAGCAACATGTTTGGGGCATGGATGAGGCCAGGGGGAATCTCAGGAGGAAGCTTACAGCCCTGGGCTGAGGTTCAGGCAGGGGGAGATGGGCAGACAACTGCCCCTGGGCTCACAGAAGCTGGACAGCAGCAACAGGCAGTGATCCTTTCCCAGAATGTGCCACAGGTTCCTTTATTGGGAGCCTGGTAGAAAAGGCCCAGTGGGACACTAATGATGGGCAGGGATGTGACAAACACTTCTCCCACACAAAGCCGAGGTGACAGTGTGCTGCTTGGCTTCTCTGGGGATGATTTCAGGGCTAGAGCTGGAGGCAGGAGTGGAGCTCTTCCTGGAAGCAGGATCTGGCCTTTCCTCCCACTCCACAGCAGGGTCACCAGGCACTGGCAGCCACAGCCCTGCCCTGTTCTAGCACTTCTGGCTGCCAGAGGTTTGTGCATGGAAGAGGCGCTTGAGGAAGTAGAGCTGCAGCATCCCAGAGAGGATAATGATACAGCTCTGGGCCATCGACCACCAGTTGACGTAGTTGTAGTTGGACTCCAGAAGGAAGGAGTCAGCCCCTTTCCGCATCCGGGCAAAGTTGTAGAAACGCCACATGTGGAAGGTGTGGATCTGCAGCCTCTGGATGCTGATCTGCAGGAGGGGCAGAGCTGCACTTGGAGCTGCCTGCTGAGCTCAGTGCTGCATTCAGCAGCAGCTCAGCCAGAGCAAACGCCCTTCTCGGTCCCCTGGGCAGGACGTGCCCATCCCCCCTGTGCTGGGACACCCTGTGGCCACCCTGACCCTCACCTCGATTGCCTCCAGCGTGTCATTCAGCTCCTTCTTCTCCGCAGGCTGCTTGTGTTCCATGTTGAAGTCATCGTAGTAGACACCGAAGTTGAGATACACCTGCATGAAGCCAAAGTGGTTTTGCTGGTTGTCCAGGCACAGCTCGTAGAAACCTGCAGAGAGAAATGAGGGTTGTTGGTCCATGGGTAGAAGGGCACCAGGCAGACACATCCCCGGTGCTCAACCCTCATCCATCCCATCTGGGAGCAATCGGCACTCAGGAAGGCTTGGAGCTGCTGCAGGGACCAGGGCAGGGGGGAACCTGTGTCCTTGGTGAGGAAGTTGATCTGCCCTCGCACGTCCTGGGAGGCTCCAAGCTGGAAGCCGTTGGGGTCACTTGCCGTGACCAAGATGTTCCTGCTATTGCCAATCCCCGTTGCCCGCTGGACCTGGAGGCAGAGAACACCCAAAGGGAATTTGTGGGCCACTGGTGTGTTGGGGATGGAGCTGTGCTGAGCTCCAAGGCCATGTTCCTGGGGGGCTGCTCTGCCAAGTGCAGAGCTGAGGGGAAGGTGCCAGCTCCAGGCACAGCCATGCTCTGGCTCTCCTTCAGCCAACCCAGTGTAAACAGGAGATAAAAGGGCTGGAGTTTCCCGCAGGAAGGGGACAGAGCATGGGGACACACTGTGCTGGGATTTTCAGCTGTGTCACAGCGTCTGGCCAGACAGCAAAGGGCAGAGCTCCCCACAGTGCCAGGACACCCCACAGCTCTCTGCGAGTGAGCTCGGGGTGCTCAGGCACCATGTCCAGAGCTCCCAGCACCACTTCGTGGTTTTAAACCAGCTATTCAAAAAAATACATGGGATTGATGATGGACAGAGATTAGATTAGATATTGGGAAGGAATTCTTCCCTGTGAGGATGGTGAGGCTTTGGCAGGCCGAAGGCTGCCCAAAAAAGCTGTGGCTGCCCCATCCTTGGAAGTGTCCAAGATCAGGTTGGACAGGGCTTGGAGCAACCTGATCTAGTGGAAGGTGTCACTGCCCATAGCACGGGGTGGAATGGGATGAGCTTTAAGGTCCCTTCCCACCCAAACTATTCCATGATATTGCATAGAAAAGGCACAGCCCTGAGGGGTGGTGTGCCGCAGGACCTGCTACATGCGACTGATCCAGCACAGCCATTTCCTGACTATGTCAGCAGCTTTCCAGGACACATCTCCCAACACTCACCTCGTAGCTGAAGAAGAAGTTGCCACCCTGGTGCGAGAACTGCCAGAAGCACTCCACGGTGCCGCCGGGGATGACGACGGCGAAGTCGTAGCGATCGGCCCCACGGAACAGCGGCTCCGGGCTGGACCCGCTCAGGGGCTCTGTGCCGGGGCAGCCAGCGGGGCCTGGCAGCACCAAGAGCAGCAGCAGCAGCATCCTCCTCCTGCTCCCTGGGCTCTGTCGCTTGCTCCTGCCGGGCAGGGCAGAGGAGGACGAGGTGGCTGGGGGGTAATCATTAACTGCTCTGCAGCACCAGGAGGAGCACAGCACAGGCTCCATGGCTCAAGGTGATCCTGGTGTGGAGCAGGAGCTCTGGGACACCCTCTGCTGCCGAGGGCCCAGCCTGGAGAAGGGCATAACGGGACACAGCTCCTTCCAGTAGGGCACAACTAACTGGCATTGCCTCACATGGGCCATTACTGGCCCACATTGAGCCACTCTGCCCCCGTGCTCCTGCTGCCCAGGGCTGCTCCAGCCCCAGGGAAAGGATTTACAGGCAGAAAGAGAGGGAAATGCATGGCCACAGCCGGGGGACAAGGGACACTGTGCAGCACCTGTGGCTGAAGGACAGAGGGGGAAGCAGGTGTTCCCAGACAGAGTTCTCCCAGCCATGGCTCTGCTGGAACATAGCCAGAGAATCCTAAAACTAAGTTTAGAAAATGCCCCTCTATCTCCCCTGCCCTTACTCCACAAAAATCTAAGCCAGAAACTCCTGTTTCCCACCACCTACACCTACAGGACAGTGCTGCTCCTACCCCAACACTCCCAGAGGGGAAAAAGGAGCCCCACATTCCTGGGGCAGTCCGTGCCCCATACTGCTGCATTTCCACCCACAAGATACAAATTTACTCTTTTACAAACTCCTGATATCCAACAAGAAAGGGACTTTATTTTTTACAACTTTTGATATCCAAAAAGAAAGGGAATTTATTTTTTAAAACTCTTGGTATCCAGAAGAAAGGGATTTTATTTTACAAGTAACTGTTTGGACATGGATTCCAGCTTTGGCAGCTGAAGGCAGAACACGCAGCGCCCTCAGAGCTCATGTGCTCACAGGGATTGCACATGGTAGAAGGACATTACTGGGGAAAGTGCCAGGAAGACATGGCCAAAGTCAGCCAGAACTGGAACTTTTAACATGGAAATGACCAACATTTCTAAGTACTGAAACACAAAATAATGTTCTAAAGTCTCAGAGCTGGGAGGGAGGATTTTGCCCTCACATTTACAAAGCACAAAGAAATGCCTGTTCCCCCCAGGAGCTCTGCGATTCAGTGCTGCCTCTCTCCTATGAGGGAGTGATGGCAAATGGGTGAAAAAGTGATTCAGAGATCAGACAGGGATCATCCTGCTGATTGACAGTACCTGAGCAGAGCAATCCAGCTGGGACTCATCCCACAGAGGCTGCAGTGGTCAGGAGAACAAGGAAATCTCCATCCAGGCAGTTCTGAGCACATGCAGAGAGGCTGCACAGCCTCTACCACCTGCAGCAGACTGATCTTTGCAGCTCCAGCTGGAGAACAAGGCTCCTGGGTTCCTGGCAGTCCTGGTTTTGGGGTGCCAGAGGAGCTCCCCATACTGGGACAGCCTCCCCGTACTGGAACTCTGGTCCAGCTTCCAAAAAACAAAACGAGGTTTTTGCATGGAATGTCCCAGGGCTCCCAGCTTCAGAGGAGTCCCTGTTTCTTCATGGTCCGCCAGCGGTCCTTGATCATCACTGCTGTGCGGTTCTGGAACGGGTACTTCTGGCAAATGGCCTTCCATCTCCCCTCTCCAAACTTCTTCACACCTTGCTTGATCCACTCGCTCTCCTGGATCGTCCATTTCTACAAAGAGCAGGTGAGCAGGTTCAGGGAAGAGCTGCACAGCAGAGAAGCTGCTGCAGCTTCTTCCTGGCATGTTCCTTCCCTGTGCCAGGACAGGCAGGGAAGGCAGACAGGTCCTGGCAGCTGCACACACAACACTCCAGCACTACAGATATAGTGCAGCAGCACAAGAGCCAGCAGCTGCCTTCCTACGGCTCAGGGGGAGAGTTACTCGTGGCACCAGCCTTGGGACCTTTTTCCAGGTAACAGCTGCCAGACATGTCCCCCTCATCTGAACAAGGCTCTAAATCCCTCCAGCACAAGGGGCATTTGGCAAACCTGGCTCTGAGCTGGCAAGCCAAAGGTACCTGAGGCACATTGCTGGTGCCCAGCTCCAGCCAACTCCCAAACGGGGCTGTTTTACCACAAAGACTGTACAGACACAGCCCTGTTTCAGGCCCCGCTGGAAGCACCTGAGACTTTACATACCTGTTTCTTGGAGCTGAATACTGTGGTGTTGTTTGTCCCAACTGATGCTGGAAAACAAGGAAGAGAGTTACATACCCCATAATTTGGGAGGTACAGATCTTCTTGAAAGGCTGCCTCAGGCTTAATTGCTGAGCTGTGCAGTCAGAGCACCCCATGACAGGCAACAAACCCCAATTCCTTTCTCCCAGCCTTTCTACTGGATTTCTGGTTTCAAAATTCAGTCACCCTTGGTAGCAAGACCCCTGTGAGTGACCCCCAAGCCAGGATTAGCACCAGGTAACCCCTGCCAGGGGACTCTGTTCTTACCTGCATCTGAGAAGAGCTCATCCTCCTCACTCCAACTGTCCTTTTCTTCCACACCACGGGAGCTGTTCCACCTTCCCTGGAAGGACCTGAAAGCAGATGAGGATTTACTCTGGCTACTGGCTCAGGAGAAGGGTTTTGGGGAAGAGGTGCAGGGCCACCCAGCACAGAGAGCCAGCCTGTGGACACTGTGTTTCTCAAGAGGTGGAAAGCAGTTTAACCTGTTCCACAGGATGCTCCTACAAACTCTAGCCAGTTA